CTTTAGGGACAAGAGAAAAGGAGATAAGGCAACAGTGAGCCACAATCTCACGTCCCATACAAACCATCTGAACTAGATGGGTTGCACAGATTTGGAGAACGCCCATGGGAAGAAAAGTAATATTGCCAGAAACAGATTACAGGGCTCAGCTGAAAGATTGGTTTGGTAGCTATTCAAAAGGACTTCGAATAAAAGATCCCTGTCCAAAAAGCTCTTAAGTAGTCTAAGCTACTACAGGATCAGAGGATAGCATCCACACAGGGACAGACAACTGATTAAAAGACAGAAATCGCAGGGTATGGAATAAAAGATCAGTTTTCACGCTAGTGGGAGGTCAGCAGTGGAGTCGAAGATGATTTGCGCTGGGGTCTGTGCTCCTCAACAGTATTTTAAAAAAGGAAGTAGAGTGAGGTGAAAATTTGCTGGAGGTTAGTCGAGGTAATAAGAACGAGGAACGACAAGTGAACCTTCTAATGCTGAGTGACTGGGCACTGTAACAGCGAGTTATATCCCGCACAGGTAAACAGGGTGATGTACACCCTGAGGAAAAAACAACAATCCCAGTTTTTCATCTGAAGTGAATGACTTGACTTACCACTCACTTATTAGATCCTGGCATTGTGACTGTTCTTTAACTAATCACCTCAGTAACAGAAAAAGCACACGGTTGTAACTAAAAGTTACCATAACTTAACTACCATAACACCGTAAGTTATTACAAGGACCCCATACATACCCACGTTTTGAATACGGTGAGGGGAATGGAACTGCCTGCAGAACCAGCAACGCTTTGGGAAAGGACAACACAGACAATCGGGGTATCTGCTAGTTTCCCTGTAAAGGAGTAACCGAGTTGTCTAAAAGCGTACAGGCTGTTAGAGCGGTGACTGGGATGAGGGTGGAGAAGGAAAGAAACACGGGGGAGATCAATAAAAGCCGAGTGGTCTAGAGAACAGCTCCAGCAAAAGTTTTCCAGCTTCTGCAGCTGCTGGTGAGACCAGAGCGATGAAGGCTGCGCTCCCAACCCCAGTCCATCTCCAGCAGAGGTCAGGGGAGACAGCTGGTAGCAGCAGCTCAAGACCACAGCCAAGTTTCAGAGTCTGAGCTCTGCTTTTGCCTGTTATCCTAATGAATGCAGTGGCTCCACCTACTGATAAAGCAGTTTCCAGAGGAACTTAAATAAGCAGATAGAATATTTATATGAACAGAATATAGAATGTGCTACAGAATAATTGGGGTAACATTTCTTTTTCCCCAGAAACCGTACCGGAGTGCAACTTTATCACTTCATAAATGGCACTTCAAAGCAGGAGAGGAGCAGAAAGAAACTACAGACAAAACAGAAGAGACGGGAATAGTTAAGAAGAGAGATGAGTGTTTACTTAGATACCTTTCTGAGAAAGGTCAGTATGGAAGAGCACTCGCTGCATCTTAAGACCAGTTACTTTTACAGGTACAGACCATAGTTTTTCAAAGATTGTTGTCCAGATTTGCAATAGCTAGCAATTAATTTGAATACTTTAAAATATTTAACCTATAAAGCCCAAACCAGAGATCTTGATGCCTGGTCTGTTTGTTTCAAGACTGCTCACTAGTCAATGCAAAAATATTCCAGGACAGTTCCTCTTCCTCTCCTTCCCCCCACCCCACAAGGCAGAGGATTTCTGAGAAAAGGCTCCTAACTTCAGGGAAAACAAACAAACAGACCACACTCTCCTCAGCTGTCAGACACCCATGGCATTCATCACAGCAGCCCAACTCACAATTCATGTTAGAAATCTTCTGAGTTACATGGTTCATGAAGCATCTGAGGAATATTCTGTATCTGATTTCAGAGGGAAACAGCTGGACTGAAAAAAAATGCACATGACAAGTCGTAAATGACGTAACTCAAATAGTGCACGTTTATTCTGAACGGTATTTCTAAAGAGTTTGAGAAAAACAAAAACATGCTCCTGATGTACAACAAGGGCAATGGTATAGATTAAAAATGGACCATCTTATTGTAAAGAATTTGCTCCCCCTGCAACTTAACTTGTAGCATTGAGAATGCATCTGTAAACTGCATACAGCATACCTTTGACTAAATCTTAACTCGAGAGACCAGGGGTGGTCTTAGCCAAATTAATCAGGAAGCAGTTGCAGATTCAAAAGAAACATCCAAGTCAGCAAACACTTTACAAAACACAGACTTTGTGCATAGCAGCTGACCCTGGATTACAGCATGGGGGAAAATAAAACAAATTGGGGGATCAAATTTTTACTAGACACAGGGCACCATCAAGAATTAACGAAATATCACATAAGTTTGTTTCAATTTTAACAGTATGTCTGATTTAGTTGGCAGGTTTAACCATTAGCTGCATCATGTAAACTCAGCCAGTTTCTGTATACACAAAATAAAATCTCTCCAATATAAACTGAGTTACTGAGGGATACCTCTCCTGGATGATTCTTCTTCCCCTGTACCATGGTTTCCTCTATTAGGAGTCTTTTTGTAGATAATATCTTCATACTTCAACCGATGTATGACAAAACCAGTTGCAGAGATTCAGGAATACCTCGTATATACACAATTTACACTCTAAAGCTGTTAGTCGCATACATTTTTCTTGCTAGATCTTCATCCAGAACAGGAAGTGCTGGTGTGGTTTCCCCCCCCCGCGCCCTGCACTGAAACTCCCAACTTTTAAAAAAATCTAGTTGTTCATAAGCTGCTGTTTTCAAGCTAAAAGGAGGTCCTGCTGCAGCAACAAACAAAGTAACTGAAGGTCTCTGCAGTAAGCCCCTACTTCACACAGTTTCAGTGTCTCTGGGTAACAGCATTGAGATACAGCGTTCTCCTCCCACACTCCACACCGCTGATATACTAATAAAATACAACTGTTTGTCATTCAGAACTACTGACCTTCACTCGCCCTTATCCATGTACAGGGAACACAGCTTTCTATGAGATTTAGATTAAACCTTGTGTTCAAGATCCAACAACCGTTTTCCAGGATTAACAGCCTGGGAAAAGGAGTCTTGTATTTGTGGTTATTCTCTCTTCCACCTCCTACAAAACATTTTATCAGAAGTTACAATGAGGCAGGTTTGCTGTTGAATAGGAGCTTTAAGAATTGTTTTCAGGGATACATTCATAGAATGATGGCAGCCCAAAGCAAAAAGACAGAAACGGAGGTTAATCCAAGTAAGTTCAGACATCAGACTCGTACTTTTAAACCTGAAGGAAAACTGTCTGTGAAACACACCGATTTGTGGAAGCCTACGACAACAGCAAATCCTAAGAGTTCATATCCCCACACCCATCTACCCAACCCAAACACTTACCATTTAGTTCTAGAAGAATGAAGAGCACTTTGCTTGGCACCAGAGGCAGCTATGGTCTGAGTTACAGCTGTGCTGCACAAACATCCTCAAATACAATACTGTATCTCTCCCTCTACACACTTCTCTTGGTTTGGTCTACAGATGGCCAGGGAAACTATGCTGGCATATGACAAGCTAATTGTGCTTCGATACACCCCCTTCTAGAAAGATGCTGGAACTGCCAACGTAACCAGTGCAAGCAGGTCCTAGCAGTACTAAAAATAAGCTTTTGTCAAAACTAGGCTGCTTCTGGCCAAGGAAGCCGTTTGCAATTTTCTAGCCCGAGTCTGCCACCGAGTGTTGCAAACCCAGGTGCTCAGGCCGTGCAGAGGGCCTTTTGTCGTTAGCGATCTGCCGCTCCCCGAGACTCAGTTAGTGCAAACCCGGCAAACAGAGTAGCCGTTTTCCAGCACGAGGCACTCCAACAAACACTACACGCCTCTGGGAAAGGAGGAGTAATTCTGGAGCAGCTTGTATAGTCACCCCTCCGGTATCAAAGACCGCATAATGTGCAACGAGGGATGCCGTCCCTTGCCTCACCACAAGTCCCATCTTGAAATCCTTGGTTCCCAAGTCACCCTCGAATGACTGGACAGCACCTACTAACCAGATGTATGCTGCAATGCGCACTATAGGTTGGAGGATTTCAAAGCAGATGAATTCAAGACGCAGATTTAAACTTTAAAAAACAAACAGGAAAGGAATGCAGTTCAATATCTACGTGGGGAATGGGGCAGGTTGGTGTTGTCTCAGCTCAGTGCACTTTCCCAGGTGCTTGGAGAAGAGTCCAAGCTCAAGTTGGTATTTGTATTGGCATACATAAAATCGCTGGCAGCAGTGCATAGAAAGGAGCACTGATATTCACGCAAATGAAGCATGAAAGGATGCAAAGCAGAGCTTAGTAGAGTTTACTGTAGCTTTGAGGTTACAGTACTAGGAAGAAGCCAGTCAGCCTATTTTCCAAACCCATAAAATGCTCTAATATATGCCGCTTTTTTCCGGTGCTCCATGAACAGCCTCTCACGAGAGGAGAACTGCGTTATTACCACTGAACAGGGAAAGGAAAAAAGAATCTTCAAAGGAGCAAACTGTGCAGTTCTTAACCACCTCCTCCCGAAGGAGCACATAAACACAGCAAGCCAAGCCAATCCCAAGCACATCCAGGAGACGCCGCAAAGCTATGTGATTAGGGTCAGATTCGCGTTTGCCTTCTCAGCATCGCTGCCGGGTTTCCTCAGCCCTCGCCTCATCTCAGATTTGTCACCACAGACTTAGTAGCTGTAGCAAATTTATCTGGAGACAGGTGCTTGCCTTACGCGATCAAAGCCGGTTAGGTGGTCACAGTCACTTCTCCCATCCCAACAACACAGATAAAACTAACTCTCAATGAGCCCTACAGCATTTCACCCACTTTTAAAGCAAGGGTCTTGCCTCAGGATTCATATTTTTACAAGGTTACTCTTGCCAACACCAGATCTAGCTCTTACTCTGGCAGAAGTCTGCTGGGAGTTGGGTAAATGAAAAAAAGAAAAAACAAAGACCACTCTAAACCCTCCTCTCAGTCAGTTAAGAAGTGTAGCACCAGCTTGGGTGAGGAGTTTTTAAAAAAAGCATTCAAAAAGATCAGCCCAGGCAGAGTGAAAAGGTATGGTAAAGTAGCCCGCCCTTCTCAGCAAAAGATGGAGGAAAAAGCCATACTCAAAAATACTGGGAAGAACTAAACATACTTTTTCGAGGCGGGGGGAATTAAGAGGAAGAGTGGGAAGTACTGAAGTAACATTCAAAGGTTGGGGAGGAGTAAAGTACCCTGTAGGTTATAAAAAACACAATAATGTCGGAGTCAAAGGACAAGATACCACTTTTCCTTTTTCCTCCCATTGGATTTACATTCTGCTTACTGAAAGAGATAATTCTGAAGGAAACTTGTCATCAGGATAACCTGCTCAAGCCCTCCACACCTCAAACTTAAAGAGATCTGCACACCTTTTCCCACCCCCAAAAAAAAAAAGAAAAACCAAAAACCCAAAACAAACAAAAAAAACCAGAAAGGAGAGCTCAAAAAAAAAAAAAAAAACAAACCCAAACATGACTGGACAATCCTTGGAAGAAGCATTACATTTTGTTGGAGAGAGGTCAAGAAAAAAAAAATTAAGAGGATGAAGGGGTGGAGTTTTAAAAAAAAAAAAATCAAGAGGCCTCTCTTTCCTTATTTGGCGACAAGCAAGTGCAAGAAAGTGTTCGTTGGGGTTTTGTTCAGTTGTCGGTCTTCTGCACATCTGCGTTCTGGCCAAGACAAGGGGCTTTGAGGTTTTTCTGCAGCACGTGAGCATCTGCGGGCTCTATCCTCTTGTAGTAGTTTTTCTTCGTCTCGATGATCTCAAAGCCAAACTTTCTGTAGAAGTCAATTGCGGACTCATTGCTGATCTGGACATGCCTGGGACAGAAAGGAGGACAGAGAGACAGGTATCAGCACTTTCTGCGGTACGGTATTCTGCCTCCACACTCAGAACGGTCAAAGACAAGGTAAGAAAAGGAGCTACACAGACAGGAACGATGGTGTAAGTTCAGGACTGGAAATTCTGGTCTTCCCAAATCAATCCTGAGCTAACACACAGCTCCTGGATGGCCTGTGGCCATCATTCTGAGAAGCAGCAAGTGTTTCCCCCTCAGTAAAGCTCTTTTAAGGAACACAAATAGCAGAGAGACCCTGAAGCATTACTAGCTCCGTGATTTTGATTTTTCTTACTCTGGAAGTGACAGATATTTTGTGGAAATACATAACAAAGTTTCACCGTAGAGCCAATTTTAACTGCCTGTAGTGACCAACACAGTTGTCTGAGCGAGGATCCCTGCACACCGCAACACAAAACTGGCAATGGTGTTTGATACGATTTTAACTCTTTGCTCACTCCTAACTACCCCTCTCTCCTCACAAAAAAGCTATGGCGGCACAAAGAAGCCCTGTGGACTTACAAAGTCCTTTCCCGTTTTATCTATCTCCCCCAGAGTTTTACAGATCTTGCTAGTAGGTTTCAAGAGTTTCAAGCCCTCCAGAACAAACAGCCATCAGCTCTTCATTCTAAGCGACTAGGACATTTATTTGCACAAGTTCTATTAAAAAAAAAAAGAGTTTGGCTCAGCAAAAGGCATTCGTTAAACACTCCCAAAATTCAGCAGACACTGCACAAGCTCATGAATCGCTTTGTCCTGACAACATGCTGCATAACCATAGAACCAAAGCAACTCTGGAAGCAACAGCAGAACAAAACAAAAGATCTTAGCGTTAAGCTCAATAAACACCGAATAGCTAAAAGGAAACTTCATAGTAATGACAAATTTAGCCACAGATATCAGATTGGTGCTAAGCTGCATGATATGTTCAGATAGAAGATGCACAAGCAACAGACATAGTAATAAAATCGATGAGCCACTAAAAGAACTTTGTTATGCCCAACTTTGGGGGCTATTTATTGCCATCCCAGAAACCTACTGTGGGAAGCGGAAAGAAGGATTACGAAGGATTTGGTTTTTGCATTAAAAACAGCCCTCGGTTCCTTCACTGAGCACACAGTGCAAAAGCAAAAAGGAAAGCCTGTGCCAACTAGCGGGCATCTGAGAGAGACGTCGTTACCACTTCTCCTGAGGCAGGAGAGCAGGAATACACGCCAAAAGCAGCTTTACTCGAACTCCTCTTTAAAGCACCCGTTCCTCTTACGGAGATGGCACAAAGCTACAACAGTAGAGGCCTTGGAAGACTGCAACTCCTTGGCAGAGGTGGACTAAGCTTGAGGAGAAGGTCTCTCCATTTATAGCGATATCAGTGTACGAAACACTCCTCACTAAGCACCTTCAACAGTCCTGGCAAGAGTTTAGGGTGCAGTTCTGTGGCAGCATGAGTCCCTCCAAGCCGTACCTGCTGCAGGACTCTCCCTACCAGCGCACCGTGCTTGTACTGGTGTAAGCAAGCAGTGATGGACAAGGAAGAAGCTGGCTCAGAGAAGCGATCTGGCCAAAAACCGCATCAGCTCACCTGGCATTCACACAGACACCAATGCACAGGAAGAAGCAGAAGTGTGCAGCCAACAGCGAAGGGGAAGCAAAGCTTTGGCATCTATGGATTTCAGGCTCTATTTCCATGGGGACCTATTAGGATGGCGGTGCTCTTTTAAGCAGCCCTGTCCTTTACCCCAGTGCTTGTTCTCATGCCTGCATCATGCCAAGTGCTTATGTAGACACGCAGTTGACTTAAAGGAGGGGGGAAAAAAAAACCAAACCCAAAACCCCACACTAAAACCAAAAATGACACCCAGAAACAAAACCGAGAACAGCTTCCCCAGCTGGGTCAGGTCTTGACTTCGTTTACTGTGTCACTGCACAAACAGCTGACCTGACACAGCGCAAGAGCGGGAACAAGCAGGTGGGCCTTACTGAATGAGAACCTAAAGTGCTTGCAAGCACCTCTGATCTGGTGTTCTAACATAACACAGTACTGCCACATCAGACAGACAGCAAATATATCAAAACTGCATGCAAGGCTTGCAGTATTTTCCATTCTGAGGATGACACTGTAAAAAAAATTCTTGTGGAAGAATTTTTTTTAAGTCATACAGTGTAATTCTGCTATAGAACACCATTTTGTAACTAAACTACTTTCAAATTCAGTACAGTTGCAGAAGCCCTTCTAAAGCAAGCAAGCAAGCTTGTGGTTTTCTCAGCATCGCACAAGCAGCCCAGAATATGACCCCTAGCTTTCTTGCTAGTACTGACAAGATGTCCCGTGACCCCACTGAAATACAGACTAAAAACGCTCTTGAATCTCCCTCCCTTTGCTCCCATATATGCCTCTATCACCTCTCCAAAAATGCATGAGTGTAACTCATTTACTTACAGATAGATGTTGTCAAAAGTGCCATCTTTTTCACAGATGTTTAAGACATGATTCAACATTTTAGTTCCTGCCAAAAGGTAAAGAGATACTTAAGAAAACCAGAAGTGCACAGTCAAGTCTGTACTTAGGTAAGCGCTTTCTTGAAGAGAGGCAGGCTAAAATGACAGAGCTTGTGAGAACTAGGAAAGGCAAATAAAACATGGTGTATAAGTATTTCACTATCTGACCGCTCACAAAATTTAATTCATTGTTTCTTTGGAGAAAAAAACAACCCAACAGCCCAGAAGCATACATATAAAGCAGCTCATTTAAAATACTAGCTTCAAGGTCTCAAACTCACCTCAAAATATGGTCAAAACAATGTATAAAGCAGTTAGAGTATTGGTTAAGTTTTTCTAATAAAGGCCTAGTAAAACCAATGAAGGAATGTTGTGTTCTACTTATACATGACTTGCGTACTGGCTGCATACCTCTGACAAATTATTTCATATCTCTGTGCATCAATTTTCACATCCGTAGAAACAGAGTATTTACATCACAGTATGATAACGTGATCAAGATTAAAATAATCTGAAATCCTGAATTAGGAAGTTCTACAAAAAGTTCATTTCTGAAAGGCAGGAAAAGAGAGCACACGATAAATCATACTCTTGCCCCAAAGTCCCTTCCAAAGAAATCAGCGGTCTGAAAGCGCACTGTCTCGGTTAAAACTCTGGAAGAGCATTTAGAAGGCTGCAGAGCAATCTGGTTTTTTGATGCCTCGGATACTAAAGCAGCTCCTCCTTACCTATTCCTAGCCTTCGGTAGGGTGCCAGGCATCCAAGCGTCATGATGTACAGTCTCTTCTGGTTCTGGGAATGATCCACCCTACAGCACACTGCTCCCACTGCAATATCATTGAAATAGGCTGCCAGGGAGGGAAACAAAGTGTTATCAGTCACAAGTCTCAAACCGTACATACAGCTCCTGCATTTATGCCCTCTATCTTCCTTCCGTCCCTCTTGCTAGTTCTCCCATCCAGATAAAATCATGGACTGTGGCTAACACTGCGAATGAAGCTCCCAATGGTGCTCTGACACGGTGGTTGGCTTACTGCAGTTCAAACCAACCAGCAATGACGGCAGGAGGTAAGCTGGCAGCACACATCTCTCGAGTTTTCTGCTGTAACAGAAAACGTGCCTATTCCCAGTAAAATGGAATCTATTTAGAACACAAAGCCTCCGAGGCTGGGACTGTGGCTTTTTGAGGTTCCCAAACAGTTATTTTTCATTATCTAAAACAACAAAATAGAAGGATCTGCTATTCAAAACCATTATGGATAGCAATGATGAGCACTTCTGCCACCATAGCCCACAATGACTGGCAAGAACATTTGTACCTAATTTGGCTAGTTCGCCAACCTCCAGTACATCCTTGTAGAACTTGTCATTGTAGCTGACAGGAAAAATGACCTGGTTTAGCCTCTTCAGCTGCTTAATGTTGTGTGGCGTCACATCTCCCAGCTCGATCCGGCTACTGGAACAAATCAAAATATGCTTAACATCTGACACACTGCAAAATTTTTAAGGACACCAAAAATTAATTACTTTTTTATGCTTAGAGAACTGTCCCACCTAATAGTCAGTTCAATACATATTTGAACTGCAGTGTTCAACCCATACAATTAAGTCTTCTGTTGGTGGCTGATTTAACTCCCAAACCCAATTTCAGTCGGTATGATACAGTCAGAAGTTTTGTGGGCCACGCTTAACACCGACATACCATAGTATACATGTGGTTTTATGGGGTGGGAGAAAGGAGAACACAAATCTCTGTAGGAGTATTAGCTTTAACTTTCTCCCATTAATTTCCTCACTGATCATCAAGATCACAGTGGCGGGGGGGGGAGAAAAGAAAAAGATGGGAGGGACAGGTGGCTAGCATAGAGACCAAGAAAATGAAGTCCTTAACCATACTTCAAAGACAGCCCTAATTTTACCACCAATCAATATAAAGCTTATGCTTAGACAAAAACTAAGTCATTACTGGACATCTGTCTCTAGAAAGCAACAATACCGTGTGCAGCAAACTCATAATAAGCCTGTGAGTATGCAAGCATGCCACTGTCAAGGTGATATCTGCATCTATTATCATCACCGCTGAAGTCATTCTTCCTGCTGGCTGAGAGCAGGATCACAAACTTAAAACACCAGTACTGCACCGAATTACACTGAAAAGAAACAGACCAAGCTTCTCCCTTTTCTAAGACTAACTTCCTGACAGAAACACTACATATGCAGAAGCAAATTGAAAAAAAAGGTGTTAGGTGTTCATATTCCCCAAGCCAATTTCTTGGGTGCAGGTAGACAGTTTTAAGGAGGACTACAAGAATGAAAAATAAAAAACCAAGATAATAAAAGTGTTTTCCCAAATGGTCACCAGATTACGTAGGCAGGTACAAAGCCAATGCATGTTGGGTTAGAAACACACACAATTCTAGGTTCATCTCAGCCCTGTTTTACCAAATACATACAGGCAACCAGATAATTTTCTGCCAAAACATTGGTAAAGACACTGTTTGTCTTCTTAAAAAAAGTCAAATTCTGTTTTCAAAAAGGCAGCTTTCTAAGATCCCTGTACGCCAGGCTTCAAGCTTCATTCTAGTATTGTGCAGTAGCTGCTTTCCACCCCCATTGCCTCTTGTGCCTAGGCAGCTTGTTTTTTCAGGTAAGTTGATGCCTAGGACACAACAGCCCAGACTAACTTACATAATACAGTGAAACGAGGAAGAGGTCATAACCAACCACCTTTTTCTTCAAGAACCGTACCAAACAGTGCAGAGAATAATCTGTCTCTGCTTTATTAACTGACCTTGGTTATACAGCACAACCCTTAAACGATTAGTACTCCAGATATCACATCCGTTTTAGTTGTCGCTACCAATGATGGGTGATAAATATACAATGCTTTCTAGGCATGGTACTGCAGCCTGCACAACTATCAGAGAAAGCTACAGGAATGGAGCCTTTAACATTTACTTCAAGAAGCATAACTTGCCCTCACACCCGCTTTCTCCTTTTCTTTTACAGCAAAGAAGAGAGTCTTCAGTTCTGCAAAGGTATCGAGGATCACCACTGCCCCCTCTCTGGTACGACAGATCAGACAGTCTCCCTGAAGAAGCTAAACAATTTGTAAGTAGGGCTTACCTTTCAGAGAACCACCTAGCATTAACTAAAGGACTGTTGACGATTTTGTAATTCTCTACCAGATTAATATGCTCCAGTTAATTATTCTAACTACTTAGAATTAATGGATGGCATTTACATATTGAACTTTGCTGACTCCAAAGCTTAACCTTTCATCACACATTTGCCAAAGAGACTGAAAAGCCCTCTGATGTCAAGCATCTCATGCCAGCATGGGTGCTTGCCAATGGTTCCAGGCAGCTCTTCATCTTCCCCCTACCGCACTGAGCGAGTCGATCGATCTTTTTCCCCCCCTCGCTGCAAGGGCAACTGCTAAGCCACAAATCCTTTTTGTAGTAGTTTGTCCCTGAGCTCTGCCCAATTGTACAGCAATCTCTTGGGAGACGTCTCACTAGAACCAGACAGCACGTTCTCCAACAGTGACCGAGAATGACAGAAGAAGCAACAGTCTCCATATTCTTGCATCTCATCCGTGTCAAGATACCCAGGCATACTACAAGCAACAGCAATGGGATACATTTCTAAAGTTTCTAGCTATAAACCACTATATTGTGCTGAAATAGTCTGCAGTATCTCTTTTCCATGACTTCTACCACTACCAGCCCTTTGTTTCTCAGCCTTTTCCATCTTCTAGATTATTTTTGCTCTCAATTCCTTTCTTCATGTATCACCACTTGTGCAAGCCCCTTTGAATATATTCCAATGTAAAGTAAGTACTGAGCTAGTAAGGATGATCTCACACCACAGAAGTAATCCCGTTGTAAACAGGCATGCTATCAAATGATAGTAAAGTTAGTAGATGGTGGCGTAACTGTAGTACTTGTTTTATGCCCAGCTTAGCACAGCTGTTCAGCCTAGCATGGCAGGGCTTCTTCAGGCACACAGAAGGCAAGTCACACCCTTCTCTCATCCCTGCCAGCAGTGCTGCTACCTTTTCTCACAAAGTGTTCCCAGGTGTATTTGTGTCTGGGAGAGAGTTTTGCTGGAGCAGAGAACCTGAATAACCTCATACTAGGAGCAAAGAGAAGACCCAGCAGCCTCTTTTGCTGCAGTCTGCATCAGAGTGGAAACCAAAGGGAGCAGGTCTCAACCGCCCAGGTAGATCAGATGAGCTGCAGAGTAGGAGGTCAGCAAGGGAAGAGACAAACCTCACAGTCACTCAGTCCCTTGAAAGCCTAGACCTCTTGTCCAAAAGATTTAATAGTATATTAACCTCGGTGATACTTTTTTCTCTCAGTAGATCCCAGCTTCAGTACATCAGTAACACTAGCATGAACTTTTACAATGAACTCACAGCAAAGTTGTTATAGAGCGAGTCCCTCTTTATACTTGAGCAAAAATCTCCAACATTGACTATTACCAGGTCGTATGTTTTCTAATATTATTTTAAAATTAATTAGTTACTATTGAAGCAAGAAATAACACAGTCACTATGGAATATTTATGATGACAGTGCAACAGGACAAAGATATGTTGTCAGGGCAGCCAGAACAAGACGGCTGAAAAAGGGACCATGGCCAGAAGACGGACCTTCACCAAGAAGGTTTCAGACAGGGAATAAATAAATAAGTGTGGAAGGAGAGTCTAAGGCTGCTCATAGCTGCTGAGCCAAGACATCACCTCTGAGGCTGGCATCAGGCCAGAGAAACAAGTTCCGGTAGTAGGTGGCTATAGGTGCTGTTGACAGATCTCCTGAAGCCCTTGGGCTCCCCCCCCCTCTCTCTCACCACTTGCCACATTCCTCGCTGCCTCCTGCCATCTCCTTCTGCCTGCCTCCTGTGCTCTGTCACTAGCTGTTTCCTCGAGAGTTGCACCAGGGCCAGTAATTTATCCTGGGGGATAATATGAAAAAAGTTTGAGAAACGCTGCAGGAAGCATAAATCAATATGCTAAATAGGTCTGTTTAAATAGTACATACTCAAACCATAGATTACTTTAATGTATAGCACTAGCTGATTAAGTCAGCACCACATCTATTACACACAAAAACATTTAATAAGTAAACTAAATGAGGACAAGGAAAGGAAGACACACGTCATGCGAGTTCATCACTTTGCCCGAGGACAGCGCGGCAAAAGTGCCACTAGGGCCTCGAGTGAAAACACGGGAGAGCTGGCACTGCTGCCGAAAGCAGCAGTCTTGCCGTCCCCAAGCCACTCTTTTCCATCATCTTGCTGGCACAAACATTTGTGCCACAATGTGGTGAACCAACCCCAATTAAAACTAACCTAGCCAAAAGAAAAAAAAAAAAAAATTTCGTTTTAACCCACATCAGTTCCCCAACTGGGTTCGCCACACAAGTCTTCTGCCAGTATAAAGAAGAAAAAAAATTTGCCAGAGGCAGAACCTGCCGGTTCTTGCGCAGAAGTGCCAGCCTACCCCAGTTTAACCTGGAAGTACTGTGCAAGAGGAGCACAGGGATCATTCAGCGCCTAGATGATTTTGTACTACACCTTATCATTTACCCAACAACATGCACTTTGCACCTAAGGACTTAATGTCAGGCCTCTTATTGCTACAGCGCTCTACAAAGCCATACCCTTTCCTAGATGGAATACCAGCCCTCTGAAGCCACTTAAACATCAGGCTGCTCCCAAGCTACCGTTATCCTCATAGTCAGGCTTTCTTCCAATTGCCATTCTAAATGTACTCAGGTTCTACCCATACGCTGCCTCTCGTTGCTCATTAGCTTCAGTAGCTGATGGGCACAAGGCACCCTATCCCACATGCTTTTTCAGAGAGCTACCATGACCTCTTTATACTTTCCCTTCTTGTAACTAAAGCCAAGCTCCTGGCCTCCTCCTTTAAGACTGGCTCTTAATTCCTACTATTGTCATACTAGGTCTTCTTTCCATTCCTTTAGATTAAAGTTAATTTTCCTTAAACATGGCTAACCAAAACTGCTTACAGTACCCCAAGTACTTACTATTGCCTTCTACAACGGCAGTGAAGTTTTTCCTGTCTCTACCGGAACCATTTTCCTGACATATCCTCGGACTATGTTTGCATTTCTCCCAACTGCAACGTACCGCGACTCAAGTTACTGAGGAAGAATCGCACCGAGACTTTGCTAGCGAAGGGAACGGGTTTCCGGTGCGTAGGGCCGCTGTCCGTTGAAAGCGCACAGCGACACTGCCTAGCAATGCAAGAGTGGAAGTGAAGAGTGATCCATGAAATCCCAGTGGAAGTGCGACGTTAATGAGGTGACATGCAGCCGTTACTGAAACTGGATACGTACCCAGAACATCAGTATTAATGCCCCTGCTCTTGCGTGCTAGTGGCCTAGGATCCTTCAAGCGCTTGCTAGAAAAAAACCTTGCGCTTTGTGTAGGACCAACTGCAATCCCATTCGTCCTACTGCAGCTGCATTCCTCTATCTGCAGCCTGCTACAGGGCTGTGATTTTTCCTCTAACGTCTTAAATTTATACCGGTGGAAGTAACACAGGCTAAACGAGACATTAGTGTTTGCCTGAGCTAAGGCTGCCTTTTGCCTCTCAACATATACCGAAGGAGAACGGCTATACAGAGTGATAGCTCAAGACAAAGCCAATTTCCAGAGTTACAGTTCAAGAGGAAACACAAATTCAGTCCCAGGGAATAGCAAGTGCTGAACGCTAGTTTAGAACCAACATCAGGGAGAAAAAGGGGGAATTCCGAGCTTCTTAATGCTGCAAGAATCTCAGTCTCATTCAACTTTAAGTAGTGCAAGTCTCTCCCCAGAGGGATGTGCCTGACTGAAACAGATCTCGGTGTAACTGATAGCTGGGCTCAGGCTTACTGAAGGCATCTGGCATGCTAAATTTAGCAGAGCTGCATCTGCAGCTCGCAAAACTCACTGAGGTATCGTCAAACAGTCAGGAGAGGGAGCACGGGGGAGAAAAAGGCCCTAACAGATTAGAGGACTTCAGGGAAGGTTTGTCACCCACTAAGCGGCCAACTAGCTTTATTGCTTCTATTTTGGCTTCCAAGTCAAAGCAGGAGTCTAGACAGGATAATCCACTCATAAAATAAAACCAAACCAGAGCTATGAAAGCTATAGACCTGAAGGGTGTGGCTTTGCATAGATTCAGCTCCAAAGCCAAAAGAGCCTCTCTAGGGTTTTGGGGTTGGGGTTTTTTTTTGTTTGGTTTTTTTTGTTGTTTTGTTGTGTTTTCAAAAAAAAAAACCAAACAACAACAGATGAGCTGTCTTGCTAGGCACACAAGTTAGTCTAGTTCTTGTGGGCAGAGCAGTATGTTTTCAATTATCTAGAAGATCTGTGGGCTGTAAATCTACTCTGCTTCACTTGTCAGAAAACCAGAAGGCTAAGTACAAGCCTAGCATGCAAAAAGTCTTACCAATTTGCTTCTGAGCCCCCCTGATCTTCTTTAGCCCCACTTACTACTGAAAACATGGATTTGCATGACACCTGATACCCTGCTGGAAGTTACCCCAGCTGTGTGCTGGATTGTAGGAGGCCACAGTGACTTACAGAAGAAAGCTAAGCAATTTTAGAATCAGAATTAACAGAAGACTTCACTCAAGACTTGTGATTCAAATGGATCTCTGTGTGAATAGGTTTCACTGGCACGCCTCCTAATTCCCCAAGACATACTTCAGACCCTCCTTGCCTCTCTCCTTTATAACAAAAAGATACACAGCACATTACAGTCAAAGTTTCTTCATTATATTTGGATAATTCACTCTGCTTCAAGCTAGAAAACCTGACCATTGTACAAAAGACTGGCCAGTCTTCACATGCAAGAAGCAAAGTTATGCTATAATAGCCTCACCATTTTCCCAGCTGAAACCTGTTCTTCAAGAGTTGTACTAGACCTCAAACCTAGACTCAACTCTGATCTCAAAAAAAAAAAAAAAAAAAGACAACCCTAAAGCTACAGTAGCAGTACAATCGTGAAGCATCTCAACTGTCTGATTATGCAAGTGCAAGGGGGAGACAGTGAGGTCATTTCAACAAGCGTCAAATAAAAACAAACTTTCCCAAGAAAATTAAAGCTATCTCATTCTGCAGTTGGATACAAAGAGCAGGAATCACCATGCCCAGCTGACAGGATTCCCAAACTCCAAAAATATCGGAAATAAATGTAGCTGGTCTAGAACAGAAAAGCAGCCATACACACATCGCTCAGTAGCCTGTAACACTTTGCTGCTTCAGAGCACCTCAGGAGGTAAAGGCTCAGATATTGTATCTGCCTACCCCAGGTGCATCAAAGTCAGGTGAAAGAGGAAACAACTTGCCTGCAATCATACAGCAGATAGAGCTGCCAGAAATCCTAACTCTCCGTTGCTGGTCTAACCACTTTTCCTTACTAGTCAAGTAAGCTCACAAAAACATTCAGATTTTGAACCACGATCGCAAAGCAGAAGTACTTCACCAGTTTGAAACAACTTGGCTCAAAATTAGTTTTGTGTCTCCATTACAGATACTCTGAGACATCTGACCAGTTACTGCCCCTTTCCGTACCCTCAGTGTTGCTGGGTATAACAATTATAACCCTTACTTGCCTCCCAGGTGATCATGAACCTTTGCTAATTAATGTTCACAAAGTACCTGATGATCCTCAGGTGAGAACAGAGGCTTACCTTCAGATTCAAGATAGAAGTGATGCTAGGTTCACAAAGTGCCTTATTTACATAAATCTGTATAGCTCAAAGGCACTTCTTGTACTTATGTTAGGTAACAAACTATAGAATTGACGTATCAGGAGAAAGGCATTTATCTGCCTCACACAAACTATATATTTCTATAAGTCACTGAAACACCTTTCTTTCCAAATGCTCGTGTCCATTAGATTAGCAAAGAAAAAATGGCAGGTCATTATGGGTCTCCTGCTTATACCTCGCATTTCAGTCCCAGGTTGGTGGTTTTTTGAGGTGTTCAAATCATGCATTATATAAAGAACACGCGGCGAAAAATTAACAGAACAGGCTACCAGTTTTATGCGCCTACCTTCAAATACTTCTAAGGCAACAATCACTGCAAGCACCTAAATTATCAAGCACAAAAAGCTATTTTTCCCCCCTTTCCTTTTCCCAGTTTTGAATAAGAATGAATTGTCCGCAAATGAAAATTTGTGCTAAAGAGCTACTTATTAAAAAATAAACAGATCTCCTTTAGCTGCAATTTTCAACCTCATTTGTGATCTTTGCTGACAAGAAATTCCAAGCGCCATGTAGAGAAAACCTTCACAAGCCTTAAATTGCTGCTCTGGGTCTCACCCCATAGTCTCAAGAGAAGAAAAATACAATGGTCAGATGGTGGAAATGGGAAACTTTTTCAGGGATGGAGATTCTAGCCTGCTAAGGGCCAAAAATCACATGGAGCCTGGAAAAGAACGAGGAGAGGGAGGAGGAAAGCCAAGTGAGCTCAGGAAGCACTTCATGCATCAGGATCTTACCATGCAGCACGATATTTTCAATCCATTTAAAAAAAAAAAAAATTACTCTGCCCCCAGGAAAATTCAAGTATCTTAATCGTAGTCACCTAGTGACAGTGTTGTGGAAATGGTTTTGGCTCTATTTTCGGTAAAGCCTCATTTCATTTCCTTGCCATAATGACTTAATTCAATATGCTTTGACACAAATACAGTTACCCCATCTCAATGCCGTGCTTCTCTGCTCTCAGGTCTTCAAGTCCAAGAGTCTCCAGCAATTCTTCTATGCATAGACTGCTTCTCTCTTCCCCCGCCCCGCTTCCTCACCTCAAATCTCCCTCCTGACAAACTTTTGCTGCTTTAAAACTCCCATATAGGTCACTTCTTCCCTTCCCCTCTTTCAGCAGGGAGCAGAAAGTAACCCTGACATTGCCTGCCTCAGAGCAGAAGGGATGCAAGGAGGTACTGCACTTCTCTTATCAATTCCCAAACAAATATAAAGATCCAGCTTCTCCTGTCCTTTCCTCCTCCTCTTCCTGGTAAAAATACCTAGCGCCTTCTCAGATTATTGGTCTGAACACTTCTAATGCTTGCCAAATGGGCAGGCTCTTCAAGTTCTGAATCATTTCCACTTGGATAAAAGTATTTTTCTGGCTCAACCATCACCCATTATTCCCCATTTTAGAAGAGATTTAATGTGGCAAAGGAGGATGCATCATTTCTCTTGTCCTCAGGAGATGGCAGCAGAGTCTGCGGCATTTGGTGACTAACTAAAGATACTACATTTTTCACAGAAGAAACGTCCCAACCTAGCAAGCCCATCTATATACCAACAAGCCACATATACGTCTAAAAAGAACTGAATGGTCGAACACCACTCAAAAGCCAAGACTGGGTTCTAAAGCACGTCAATAAAATGGCTACAATCCCTATGCCACCTTCCTATCCTCCCAATCCTTCCTACTTCATGGAGTGTCTTAATCTGGTTATGGAATTAAACTCAAAGTGGTTAGAGTTACAAATTAGGTTAAAGTACCTATAATAAACCGCATTAAGTTTTTATAAACTTAATTTAGAAGACATTAAGCTATTTGTAAGCATGCGTATAGGCAAGGTCTAAACTTGCCATCCGTGAAATTAAATGCAGAAAGTATAGCTCACACTTTGACATTTCTAGGTTCAGAAAAATCCTAAAACCAAACAATGACTTTCAAGCTCAATTACCTCTTTTGTCCTGCCTCCAGTGCATATGACAATTCAGCAGTTCTCTCATAAACTTGGAACTTCCTCCCATATACATTAAGCTTAGCACTGTGCCTTGCAAATGGAAACAGATCAACAGTTCTGCACGAACTGTGTAATACTAACTCAGAAGAGTAGAGAAAAAAACCTCCCTGTTCTCATGAGAAACACGCACAGCGTCAGGACCTTGAAGCGTTTACTTCACAAATCCAGGCAAAACAAGCAGCGATATCAGAGCTTATCCGTAACTACTCACCGTACTTCAAATACACTACTGTTATTTTTCTGTTATGCTCAGTATTCCCCAGCTGTGACGTCTCTTCTACAAAGGCAGCCAGCATAGCACTAGCCCGCAAAGCCTCTCAGTTACGAAGTTCTCTGTGGCAGCAGCTACCTTTTGTGCAGCATCTCGTCTGAAGGGTTCTTCCGCAGCAAGTCACAAAACTACAAAGCGCAAGACTTAACTGCAGCACGTGCGAGTTTAGAGGCGGTCTCCTAGAAGCTTCTTACAGAAAAGCAGTGCGCGTTACTTTCTAAGACAGCGGTGTAACACACGGCACTCTGCTCCCTGTTTCAATCAGTTTTCCATCACGTGGCTAAATGTATGCTGCCACATGACAATCCCACAGGTGTTTCTCATCAAAACGGGAGAGGGGTTTGGTCAATGTGACAAAATAACACACATGCACGGGAGCACAGGCACCAGGCCCTGCCTGTAACGCGCGCTACGTGCTCCGTATGTGAGCTGGCGCTCCCGGTCCCATAGCAGGTACACGCATACGATGGAGCACGCCTGTCCTGCATCGCACCCCCTGTGTAACGTGGTTTTTAGGTAAGGGCAGCAGGGAGGGGCTGGATGACTTGTTCTCACAGGCTTCATCTGAACTGAAACAGGTCAGGAGAGCTCCCTTACTGTAAGGCATCAGAAGGCCACAGACAGCAACCAGCAAATGCTCAAGAATCCATGCAAGATTTTCTGTTTTCTTTCCTTAAAACCAGTAGCATAACAACTGTAATGAAAATACAAAAACACCGAACAACAAGAGAATCAACGCTGCGAAAGCAGTGAAGTGCAGGGAGTATTATTTACATCTGCTCTACAAAAACAGGCAAATTGCTACAGACAGTAGAACCCGAGTCCCTCCCACTGCTATTTTTCCTCAGGCAAATCCAGTTCTAAAACAGATTTTCAAATTCCAGAACTAACACTAACAACATTTAGGAATACAGTAAATGAAAAAAGAAATGAATCTCTAGAGGATCATGAAGTTCACTGACAGAACAGTGAATTGCCTCTGTTTTTCAACTCACACGTAAAAAAAAAAAAAAAAAGGGAAACATAACCAGTCTCTGAACTATTAAAATCATTCAGAAGATGAGGATAGAGTGAACATAAAGCCAAGTATCACAAAAGCAGGTGGGAGGTAATAGCAATTACCAGTTCAGAAGCTGATGTTTAAGTCATCAAATAAGAGGAAACCCACAAAATTTTAAGCAGCTCAGAAAGCAAAAAAATCTTTCACCATCTCTGAAATTAGAGGTCCTCTGTAAAAGAAGTCACCTAATCTCAAATACCCTGATGACAGAGACACTACAGCCCCCTGCGCATCATTAACACATTGCTATGCGCTGTTTCGAATTCAGAGAGCTAAGAAAGAGGGCTGCAAGCAACGCGCGTTGACTACGCAATCTCTTTTAGATCTGAAATTTCAGAACACCAGTTAACTTGCTAGTTTCTTTTTTAATTCTTTCTCTGCCAAAGCAGACTGTTCATAATTACAGCTGATGTTATGGGTCTTAGGGCTCCCAAAACGATCTCTGCACTTTGTGGTGTGGGTAACTATGCAACGCATACACTCCCAGAAAAAGTTCTCAGATGGAGTCAGTTTGTTGAAAAGAACGGATCCACAATTTTGGATTTAATACTGAAGACAGATCGGATCCCTTCAAACACCACATTAGTTTCTGTATGTTGGGAGTTGAAGCTTTAGATTTATTTTTGGACCTATCTTCTGACAGTATTTGTTCATTTAAGGATCTTCTCCGATCTTTGTAGCTTGTTCGGTTTGTTCCAGAGTACGCCTCTGTAATTTAACATATTTCTTCCGAAATCTTCGTCTAGTCCTTTGAATCTCTCATTGTATTTAAATTGGGTTATTTTTCAATTTGCGTTCTATCAGCCAATTTGCTCAATCTGAATTTTTAGAGAACACTGGGATTCAATATGAAGATTTTTGATTCTGCACAAGAACTCGCTGCATGTTGCTAACAGTGTTTTGACAAGAGAGGAATATGCTGCTCTTCAAAGAGATGAAGAAGTACCAGAAAAGCGGAAATATGCAAGTACAGAACCCAAACGGATCAGTTCTGAAGTTGAATCAGTGTTAAAGCTGCCTGTACGTGAAAGTAAAGTAACAGAAATAAAGTTTGGTGCTCTGGAAGCAGAAGAGGGGTGTGTGGTGGTTTTTTTTTCCTACATAGCTTTTTATTTAAAAAAAAAAAAAAAAAAAAAAAAAAGAGTTATAAAAAGTGAAAAGCTCCCTGAAATAAGAACTCCTGAGCAGCGCGAGCAAAGCCAGGGCTCAGCCCCTCGGGGAGCACCGCAGCACGGCGGACAGCTCTGGCTGCAGCCTGCCAGGAGACGGCCACGGCCCGACAGCCCTGGGCCACCTTCCACCTCGTGCAACCAGGGCCCGGTAGCCCCGTCCCTCAGCTCACGACTGACGCACAGCCAAAGCGGGGCTGTGTGAAAACAGCAGAACGGTCGACGGAGGACAAAAGGAAACCCGGTTTCGTCAGGAGCGCTGCTGAACAACGATCACGTCACCTGCCGCTTCATCTTGGCTGATCGGTGCTGTTGCTCTTCTCGCAAACTCCGTCATCTTCGTTACGAGGTGACTAAGCGGCAGGGCGCCCTGTTTCACGTAGGGTGGTGCAGGTGAATAAAGGATCGCCCGATATCCCAAACACACCTATTTAATGTCAGCTGAGAGTCAGTGGGTTTGCAATCATCACTGAACCTCTTTCTACAGATACCTGCCAGCCCCTCACGATGTCTGAAGCTGCTTCCACGCTGTAAGAAATAGCTAAGTGCCTGTTATCGAGCCGTTTTGTCGTGTGACCTCACCCCAATTGCTAATAAGCTAAACCCCTTACCATTTCTTAGTAAAAGCTTAAGTGCTTCAGCTTCCATTCACCCTGCCTTAAGCTGCCAAACTGGAATAATAATACCCAGCGTTGCATAAGCCCAGTTTCAAGGGGACTGGTTTCACGCTCTTTTGAAAAACAGCTGTGGAAAACCTCCTTCGTGCGTAGGAAGAAACTGAGGCACGGAGCAGAAGGATCACGTTTTGTGGAGCACCGGTGAGGCTGAAATTAATAAACGTTAGGCGATTTAATCAACGCTGAAAAACCTCTCCCAAAGCGACCTGCGCAAGGTCAGGCAGGTCATCTGGCACCAGAGCAGAACCGCGGCTCCCAAGGCCTCGGGTCCCCCGCTCAAACACGGCCCGCACCCCGCGGGAAGGCAAGCCTTTCAGCCGCCCGCACCTGAAACCCCTCGCTTGTCAAGAGCCGCCGAGAAGCCGAAAAGCCGAGCCCGAAGCAACGCGCTACAGAAACCAGACGCAAAACGCAGCTCGTTTTCACCCCGTCCGCGTCGCACCGTGGAGAAACGCTCCGAGACCCGAGCCGCCAAAGGCGCTGGGGAGGACGCTACACACAATAGCCCTGCCAAACCGCTCCTCCGCGGCCGGCAGCTTCCTCCCGCAGACCCAGCGGCGCTCCTGCGCTGTCGCCGGGCAAGCACGAAGGACCGACCGGCGTCCGTTCTCCCTTCGCTTTGCAAATGCC